CCCTGGCCTCCCCTACCCTCAGTGTCTTATGTCCATTCGTTATGCTTATACGCATGTATACAAGTACTTTGGTTGATCTCGTACCTCCCGCTACCAGGCCCCAACCCTTCCCTGCCTTCCAGCTGTAGTTTGACAGTCTGTTCGATGCTTCTCTGCCTCTGTATCTATTTTTGTTCATCAGTTTATAATGGTCTTTATATCCATAAACCATGAATGAGTGAGATCATGTGGTATTTTTCCTTCATTTACTGGCTTATTTCACTTAGCATAATGCTCTCCAGTTCCATCCATGCTGTTGCAAATGGTAAGAATTCCTTCTTTTTTACAGCAGCATAGTATTCCATTGTGTAGATGTACCACATTTTTCTAATTCATTCATCTTCTCATGGGCACTTAGGCTGTTTCCAGATCTTCGCTATGGAGACCCTTCAATATTGAAGGTGCGAATAAGCATTTTAAAGGAAAAAAGGAAGGAAAGCTTGCCAACAGATTTGCTAAAATCTGCTTTTTCTTTCATGGAGTCACTGACTGTCATCATGGATGTCAGTATTGTCAGTCCAAGGACTCCATGAGTCCTCTATTTTCTGAGATCAGATAGAAACAAGTAGAGGACTGAGATCATTCTGGCTATAAGAATCTTAGCGCCGTCCAGGACACTGCTCCGTGAGCTCGGGATGTTCCCGGAGCTCAATGACCTCCTCAATGCCTCCCTGGACCGGGCGGAGCCGGGGAAACTGACTCTACTCTGTGATGCCCAGACCGATGGCAGTTTCCTTGTGCACCACTTTCTCTCCTTCTACCTCAAAGCTAATTGTAAGGTGTGTTTTGTGGCCCTCGTTCAGTCCTTCAGTCACTACAACATTGTGGGACAGAAGCTGGGTGTCAGCCTGACCACGGCACGGGAGCGCAGGCAGCTGGTCTTCCTCGAGGGTCTCAGGTCAGCAGTGGACGTCTTCTTCCGGGCCGAGGGCGAGGCACATCCCCTGCAGTTCCTCAGGGAGGCCAAGGCCGCCAGCCTGCAGCCGCTGTATGAGTTCGTGCGGGAGGCCCTGGAGCCCGTGGATCAGAGGGAGGCTGCCTGGAAGCGCCCGGTGCTGCTGGTGGACAACCTCAGTGTGCTGCTGAGCCTGGGCGTGGGGGCGGTGGCCGTGCTGGACTTCGTCCACTACTGCAGGGCCTGCGTGTGCTGCCGGCTGCAGG